ACGTGGAGGACAGCGGAGAAGCCGCTCTGTGGTTGAGACTCTCCCGGTGTGGATTGGCCCAGAGAAGCAAGCGAGTAAACCGTTCTGTGCTGCTGATGCCGCCAGCGTGAAGTCGGGGTTAGTCCGTCTTCAGCTTTTTAAAAAGAAGAGACACACTGACAATCTGCCAGCCAGCTGCTAGACAGTTTTGTGACTATTTCACTTTAAAATTCTAATTTACTGCACATTTAAAGGAAATAAACTAGCAACACAAAGGCATGGCATGCCCACACATTTTATCCAAAGTTAATTTATTTCATCAGCTAAGAAAAACAATGCTGGGAAATGCGTGAGATTGTTGAACTCTCATAAAACACTGAGACTGATGCCGAGGTGCTACTTGAAACAAACTGAACTTAAATGTCTGATCAAGGAAAAGGAGAGAGACATCTTAGTGATGTGTAGATAACCTTTTTGCAAACGTGCGTTGAGGAAGCTTATACAAGTTATTTACATTTAGTGAATTTTCTTTATTAACCTAAAGTGTGGTTTTAGGATGTTTATACATTTCTAGAGTTTTCAGTTATAACTACACAAAAGTGCATGTTTGATTTCTTATCAGAACATAGGAGGTAGGCTATCCTGGTCCTGGAGTGCTGCTATCCACCTAATCGCACCTAATTGATTGGTTAATTCACGTCTTCAGCTGCTCATCAAGCTCTGCAGAAGCCTGTATGTCACCTACTGATTTAAATCAGACGTGTTGGAACAGGGAAAAAACTAAAATATGCTGGACAGCGGCACTCCAGGACCAGGACTTCCTACCCCCGGAACATACAGTGCAATCAAATATTTATTTAAAGTGAAAGACCCACTAGTTGTCACACACACACAGGTGTGTGTAGAATTTGTTCTCTGCATTTGACCCATCCCCTAGAGGAGCGGTGAGCTGCAGCCACGGTTGCACTCGGGAACCATTTGATGATGAATGTGTAACATTTAAAATAATTGAACCAACACCATACAAGGTGTTATGTAACCTCCTCTGATATAAATGATAAGATAAAGCTGTATCTTTCTAGTTTATTTGAAAATACATCAACAGAATCACACAAATAAATGAATAGACATCCATCAACACTGATTCCATTTCAAACTCGTATATTTGTATTTATCCTCCTTATGTTGGACACATTCAGAAAAAGCTTTTTAAAAAGGATTATATCTTTCATCCTCTGAAATGAAAATAACTCAAGAGTAAAATCTGGTATAAGGATGCAAAGCAAGGCAATCTAGTGAGCAGATTTAAACTCATTCTGCTTTTTAGGCTGGGCGGGTGATGAAGTTCAACTTTAGACCTGCAGGTCAGGTGATCTCGTCCGGTGCACCATGCTGGGACCTTCTTATGTCGCCCCAGTTTATTAAACACAAACGGGCTTATGAAGACCACAGCTGTAAGTCTGTCAACACATTATTACAGAGTGGAGGTAACAGAGTTCAGTGTGTCATGTGTAAACACCGTTATGCTTCGTATTAGTCACTACAGAACAGACCGAGTAGTTCAGAGCTCAGCGGGAACGACAGGAGAACCCTCAGCAGCTACTTTGTTTACTAGTTAAAACAAATGCAGAATCCTTTTAGTTTCTGCATTCCTGCCTTCTTTCTTGACATTTACAATGTCATTTACCTTTTAGCTTAACTAGGAAGGTCTGTTTCCATTGATGCTTGCAATCCTATAAAAGTGGGTCAATCTCTAAAACATTTAGCTGTTTTAGCATCTTTCTAAAAGCTAGCTGACTGACTTTTAAAAATGACTTTGTTTAGTATTTTTTAAATGTTCTTTAACTTTCTATGTTAACGGGTAATCAACTTGAGATAATATGCTTTGCAATAAAAGTGAATGTTTATTCAGCTATCACCTCCACAAGGGAGAGACACACACGCACTGACAGACGTTTTGCTTTCAGAATTCTTCGTCTCCTGGGGAGTGCTGCAAAGCAGTTCCCCACCAGGACAACAGAGGGCGTAGCACCTTTCTGTGGTATCATGCCATCGTTACACTCACGTGTCCAGTCCACGATAGCAAATTTGCTAATGCATTTAATTATTTCAGAGACTTTAACAGGGACACATTTGTCCTTCCTCCACCTCTTCATGCGGTCGCCATCTCTAAAACATGCTCTAAACCCACGTTCCTCGTCATTTCCATCCATGAATAAAATGTTTGCTCCGTATCCTTGTACTCCTTCAGTCACAGGTGAATAAACTTTTATATTTTCAGACTTTTTCTGCGATGCGTTCTTCAATCTATACTGCGTCTGTCACTAAATATCTTTTACTTTTTGACGGGGCAATGTCGGTGCTGGGGACAAATTTAAAGAAAGGGATGTCCAGACCAATCACAAGCTCGCAGTCTCCCTCACTTTCAACAGATTGTTAAAAATTAGGATTTGTCTCTTTCACCCTCTGTAAGCCTGTCGGAGAGCCCTATACATGGATTTAACTAAGCAAATAGACAGGAGCATCCATGTTTTTCCTTCTCATCGTAGGTTGGCATGTGGATGCAACAGATCCCGAATTGAAACAATCCCCACTTACAATTTCTGGTTCTTCATCAGAAATTGGTGTTGGGTAATTTCTAATATTACTCCCATATTTCCTCAAAGAAATACTAAGCACACCAAGAGGGATTAGATTCATAATTTGGTAAATTGTAAACAACCCTCAAACAGACAACAAACACATACTTTGCAAAGGGTGAGAGAGAATCAACCACACCAGTCAGAAGCTAGTTTCCTCTCACACTGAGTTGAGAACTTTGGAGAGCATTTATTGGCAACACACACACCCATACATTCCTCAAAAACTCCCCTGGCCTTAAGAATCTACAGGAAACAAAAGGGATTCTTCAGATACTAGATCAACGAGTCTCTTGGTCTGGAAGGATGGAAAGTCGTTCCTGCCTACGCTCCAAGCCAGGGCAGAACGCCCGGTTTGGCTGGTTTGGCCTCCATATAGTAGAACACAAGTACCTGAAGCAAACATTCAAAGGTAAATAAGGGTGAGGTAGAAAGGAGGTGACTCTGTTTGACAATCAGGTTTTACCTAACAATTGGTATCCTAAGACACTCTCAGACCCTCTTCAGACAGGCCATGAAAAACGGAAATGTTCCGGAATCTGTCCGTAAGACCTTTGTGTCTGAATACAAACATCCGGATAACGTTTTCCGGAATTTCACCGGACGAAGCCCCTAGTAACAGGTCCGGACTTGTTACGGACAGGGTGGCTGATTCAGACTGGTGAGGTAAAGTTCCGGACGAGGGGGAGGGGGAGGAGGAGGGGACCGGGGGACGCCGTGCGCACCCAGATAGCCCGCTGCTGTAGCATGCGGCGAACCACGACAGCTCACCTCCTACGGTACCGCCTAGACGCGCAACGGAGCGCTTCACACCGCTTCAGTGATTCCTTTAACCATTGAGCTTCATCATCCAGGTCTCTTATGCATCTTCGTGTGCGCAGAATTATGCTTAAGCGCCTCGTGATTTTTATCTTGAGAGGCGCAATAGAAATTATATTTTCTTCTTCTTCTTCTTCTTCTTCTTAACATGAGTCCGATCCCCCCCCCCCGCCGCCGTCAGACATCTGGAACTTTTCCTTGCTGTGTGAACGCAGCCGAAAGGACAAGTTCCGGTACAAATGTGGTGCGTCTGAAAACACAGTTCCGGTTAAAAACCAGATTGAATTGTCCGCAAATGTTCCAGAATGTCTATCTGAAAACGGCTTCAGACATGTCCCAGGGTCCTTTCCTAGTAAGTCCAACCAACACTGACACTCACGCCCGGAACACACTAGCTGCAAAGTAGATCGCTCACGAAATTAGCTCGCTGCCCATTACTCCTCTGTTCCCACCAGGCGAACATTTTTGACGAGCGCTTCTGCTCACGCCTACGGTTTGCCAAAAAGACGCAGCTTCTCTGGAATGCAAGATATTCCAATCGACCTCTTCCAAGACCCTACAGACAACCTTCATGGTGAGGCTGAAAAATGTGATCCCTGCTGGTTCGTTACTGGAGTGATTTGGTGTGTTTCAACGTTCAATGAGTTATTTAACCATTACTGAGGCAGTGAGCAGCTTCTCATGCATTTACACAACCCTGCAGGCTGGTTGCATAAGTAACCATCTCATACTAAAATGTCAGTGTCGTGAATAATCTGGCTGGAGCATTAGACATCATTTTCACACACGGACTGACTACCACAGAGTCCAAACCAAAAAAACGACTGAGAATCTGTTTTCGGATGTGCGTAGGAACACTTAACACAACAGCCCGACTCTTCCGTCATCACAACAGAATCTTGGCCCAAATGATTTGATACGATGTACTGTAAGCTTTTTAAATAGATCCCACAATCAATGTATGTGATGATCAAAGCTAAAAGGTGGTGCAACAATAGTTTATAGTGTGACGTTTATTTGTTTAGGTAGGGACAACTACTGATAAAACAAGAAACAGCTCAAATAAACCCCAGGAACAAACGCTGACCCACTCAACAACTAAAAAGACACGCTAAATAAAACTTAAGTGGCACCAGTGTCCCCTGATGACAAAGACCCAGTGAGAACCCAGTGCTGTGAAGGAGCAGCAAAATTCTCCTTTCAACCAAAGTATGAAAACCACTCATCCAAACTCCCTCACACTTAAAACAGCACTTCCTTGGGTCCTCGGCATTACATTTGCCAAGTGTGAAGCAGAATGGATGAGCGGCTGTCTAGAAAAGCAAAAGACAGACACGAACCAATACCCCCCCCCCCCCCCCCACACACACACACACACACACACACACACACGGGCAGATTCACCATCCTTTCATTAGTATGCAGTATTAAAATGAGAATACATAACTCATTTGTTGCTTCCTATTTCTTTTGCCCTCTGTAAACGAATAAATATGCGACTCCGTTTTAACGAGGTTCTAACAAACCAGTGGAAAGACAAGTGCAAATTTATAACACTCTTACCATTCGGGATGTCGAGGACTTGTGGATTGTAGACGGCCAAGGGTCGGCTCTGTCGACTCTGTTTTTTGGACTGTCTTGTGGGAGCAGCTAATACAAGGCCAGCAGGTGTAAAAGGGCTTAAATCCGGAGCATCTGCAAAGATCTGAACACACACACACACACACACACACACACACACGAGTAAGACTCCGGCGCAGCCTGACATGCAGTGCAGAACCTCCAAAAGTCGCAGCGCATCCCTAACTGACCTCACAAGTTTTAAAACTCAGTTTTTATGCAGTGCTAGGTAGAAAAAGTATTTGCAGCCACAGTTTGTGCTCATAGGGAAAACTGTGCACCACATTGATTGAAGCTTTAAAACTGCCTTTAAGACGGTTTTATTCGTCTCAGTCTATCTCTCTCCTCTCAGACCTGAATCTCACTCAATCCAGACATCTGGAAACATGTCAGGGTGACTTTACTCCATCAGTTAATCTGACCCACTCTGTGAAAGAGTGGAAATTAAAATAAAACACGGTTAGGACGTGAAGAGGGCTGGCCAAGGGGTGCAGCCTGTTTATGCTGGACCATGTTTACATATAAACTTTAGATGTGGAGTTGAAAGAGAATAGGGCTGCAGAGGAGAGGAAGTCTCAGCAGAGCCTCAGAAAGGATCACAGACGAGAAGGGGAGGGAGGTAGGGAAGGAAGGGAGCAGGGAGAGAGAGAGTGAGTGAGTGAGTTGGTGAGACGCAGGGGAGGGAGAGCATGAGAGAAAGTTTGTAGAAGAGAGGCAGATAGAAAAAAAAAGTGAGAAATCTGATATGGCTGAGAGTTTCTGCTGCCTCGCTCTGCACATGGAGGTGAATGTAAAACAGAGTCTACTGTTGGTATCTGGGGGTATCAACAGTCTGGAGTGGGACTGAGCTGTGAGGAAAGTTAATGTCTGTCTGTCTGCCTGCCCAGCTCAGCCTTTCCCCTGCTCTAACATGCTGTACTTTCCAAAACGCTCCTGCTGCATTCTAACACTACATCTTTTTTCAGCAGGCTGGTGTCGGACACTCGGGGAAGCTTCAAAAACCCGCAGAAGACGCCAGGCTGCTGCTCTTGTTTAGGCACATTTGTACACCCTGTTGGTTTTCATCTGGTCTCTGCAGTTACTCATAACTGACTTTAGGTTTGGGAGACCAAGTGAAGATTTTGCACACAATATAAAACATTTCTTATAATTAGCGTGGAAAATAAAATAAACAACAATCGGCGGTCCTGATCTCATCTCAGACTCTGCAATGTGGGGAAAAAAGTCAGACTTTTACTCGTTTCACAAACACATCCACTATTGAAGACTCACTGTAAAATACTAGTTATATCAATTTCAACTAACGTAATACAAAACAACAGTTAATAAAAGCATTTAAAAAACATCTAAATATACGATCATGTGAGGAATTAATAAACTTCATAGAGAATGAAATGCACGTCAGGTTTCAGCACTTAGGGTGCCCCCTTTTGGCCAGATTAAAAACATCTTTTACCAACTCATTTTGTTATTTATTTATTTACTTACTTACTTACTGTAGTTGACTGAATAATATGATGCCACATGAATAAGGTGAAAACTATCATTATTATAAAACTTAACTTATGGGTTTTTTTTACATGAAATTAGTTAATTTAACAATTAGGTAATTAGTTTCAAGCAGTAATATGAAACAGAATGTACATACACACAAGCCCGAACCTCACAAACACTAAAGTAAACAAAGTAACCCTTTCCAAATTAAACAGCACAACTTAGAAAGACAGTTTTGCTTTATTTGCACATTGTCCTTATCCTGTAATTAAATGCCACCCAGGGTGGTAAGCTAAGATATGCTTGCTGCAGCTTAATGATGGTATGTCACCCAAGATTTCTGTTGGTGCTTTTCATTTTAGCTCGTGTTGCCTGGGACATTTTTGTCTTCAGCAAACACAACTCTGGAGAGCGAATGGGATCAGGATTATAAACTGGAAGTTGTACTGGAGGAATGAACTGGCTTGGCCTGTCAGACTCGTCCTCTGTTTAATTCTGCACAGAGAGAGAGAGTCTGGAGTCGTGGTGGATGGCTGCTTATACTGAGCCAGGATTCTCTGGAGGTTTCTTCCTGTTAAAAGGGAGTTTTCCTCTCCACTGTCACTGCATGCTTGCTTAGTATGAGGATTGCTGTATAGTCACTGACACTAGTCAGTGACTTGATGCAATTTGCTGGGTTCCTTATATAGGAAACATTATTTCTGATTGGCTTAATGAACTGACCTGAATTGGAATGTTTATTATGTGAAGTGCCTTGAGACGACTCTTGTCGTGATTTGGCGCTATATAAATAAACTTTAATTGAATTAACTCACAGGCAGTGAGGCACATGAGGGGCGGGACTAGGCAGCTCAAAAATAACCGATCAGAAACAAGACGGAAATGCCGACTGTGCGTAACGCTGTAGTTTTTTAGCTGTAGTCAAAAATGGCGCCTGGCGACAGCACAAACATCTTTCTTTGAAAGAAATGCTTTTAGCGCTTTTACTTGTTGTGGTTTTAAAGACATTCAAGTCACTTGGAACAGAGGTGAGAGCCACAGCGAACTCCACTTCTGTCACTATGTTTATGACAAACTCAAAGTTATGGTGAGTGACGTACGATGCTCAGCTCTGATTGGCTTGGTTAGAATTCTCAGGGGGTGGAGTTATTTAAATAGGAGAGTTCCCAGACCCTTTCTCTGTGCAGAATTAAACAGCCAGGCTAGGAATGAACCACACAAAGTCATAAGAGTTTGGTTGTATCCAACAACAAATTTTTTTTAAAAAGTGAAATAGGACGACGATTATTTTAGTGGATAGTTTGAATTTAAACCCTATAAAAATAAATAGTATTTTAAGACACTTTTCTGTATCAAATGCGGGGATATTATAGTTCATAAGTTCTAAGGAAATTCATCTTTTGGGCGTTACCTTTTCATGGTGTTCAATGAGAATCTCCACCACAATGTTTTGAAATTTAAGATCCATGATGGCAGCAACGGTCTCTTCCTGTGGCCTCATTAACGTGGGACCAAACACCACACCCAGGTTGGCCACAGTCATCAGGTTCGCTTTACTGTGTGCTGCCACACTGAAAAATAAATAAAAACATAAATAAATAAATTAAAACATAAATAAATACATAAATAAATAATACATGAATAAAACATTTAAACTTCAGCCGAGAATCTCTTCGCAACACAAGATGAACCGGCTACAAAGCAAAGGTCTGCCAGAACCTGGATGGGTGTTGTGTGGCCTTGCGGAAGTGAAAATAGGTTCACAATTCCTTTTTCACATGCACTAAAGTTTCATAATGAGGTAAATCATGCTCACAAACATAGCTGAGAGTCTGACGCTGAACTGGCTGCTTTGGCCTTGTGCTCATGAGAGTGTCTTGGGGAATATCCAGAAAGAAACACATTTTAAACCTAATAAGGTTTATCAAATTTAGCCACAATCCAGTACAACTCTAGGCAAACACAGATGAAACAGAGTGAAGGTAGCCTTTACAATTTTGCGTTTAAGTTCACTAATAAAACATGAGAAAGCTACTTAACAATAAAAGCTATTAAAAAAACTTCATTTTTTAAAATAATTTATTTAGCTGGTGATGAACAGCCCTATGGTTGTAGAACAAATATTAGGCTCAATGTTGCCTTACAGTTGTTATTTCAATAAATCTGCTTTGTTCTCTAGTATGAATGAATGACCTGAGTAGTTCTCCATGGAAAAAAAGCTCTGGCGCTGCTGTTTCAGGAAGCATGAAGCCGGGCGTACACTGTGCGATTTTTTCACTTTTTTGAGCCGATTTTCCACTCGTGCGAGAATCCACGACATCGGGGCGAGTTTTGCGCCGAGCGTCGTGTAGTGTACAGGGGGTTAGAGAGGCGATTAACACCACGTGACCAGCTACCGATCAGCAATCGTGAGCTCGCACGGACTTCTGGCGTGTTTAATATTTTGCTCGTCCCTCATGAGGGTATCGCACTGTTGAAGCGGCGCTGTGAGCAGCTGTGACCCAAAAAGTACCAGAACCGCTCACGGCGCATGCGCAATCCAGCATCAACACCGCTCGCCCGCTATTTCCCTAATAACACACGCTGTTATTGTCAAGATTGTCAAGAAAGCGTGTTTGTCGTGTTCATGTCAAATTAAACTGATCACAAAACACAGATTTACTTACCCATAAATCCCTGTGTGTCCTCCTGCAGCACTCCCGAAGGACAACAGGCAAAACAAGACAAAAAAGTCTGACGTGTTGCGTAAAAACTGCTATTTTTAACATTTTTAGGTCTGACGTGTTGCGTAAAAACTGCTATTTTTAACATATTTTTAGGTCTGACGTGTTGCTACCAGACGTACAGTGTGAGCAGTCAGATTGCATCCGAGAACTGGGTCGTGCAGTGTGAGCACATGGCTCGTGAGATCTATCCTGCGAGGAAGTCGTACAGTTTGAGCTGAAGCTGAGTGCTACGAGTGAAAAAGTCGCACAGTTAGCCGGAGGAGCGTGGGCCTAAAAATAGAAGTCCTATTCATTAAAATCTTTGATATGTGAACATCTCGCCTCTGATTGGTGAACAGCAACACAACTTTTCCGCTGCTTACGTTCACTCATCTTTCTTGGGTAAAAATGCAACGGCGGTGTTATCACCACAAATGACAAACGCCTAAAGGAGATCTGCCATGTTGTGGAGTCGCTAATGCTAATGGTTAGCTTCTATGAGCCTTCTCTGTCTTTTTTTTTCAGTTACTAATGCAGGCAATAGGGGTAGAGGACTATTTTCAAGTTCAGCATGCATGTGAAATGTATTTTAACAAAAAGCATTATGCATTTCTCAGTGAGCCTCCGCTTTAAGTTTAGAAATGGCGGCACTATGTGGGCGTGGTTTTTAACATCCACGGCCAGATCGAACACACAACTTGCATTAGTCGCCCGCTGCCATCGGCGTCCAACAATGATATCTTGAAACACAAATGTTTAGAAACTGGGACATTCTCTCTTGATGATGCTTTATCTTTGAGGTGGTCAGAAAAAAAGAAGAAAATATTTGTTTCAGTTATCTGTCTGGACGTGCGAAGAGATTTCACAGTCAAATTAAGATGATATGTGTCACAGCAGCAGAGAGACAGTTTAAATAGCTTCAAAGGATGCCTTTGAAGACAAAAACATTGGTGACAACTCACATTTATAACATCTCTGAAACCATTTCAAATAGAAGTGTGAAATTCTGGCTTTGCTTCCTGCCCCTGCAGGACATGCACACACGCCAACTTCAGAAAAACATTCAAGTCTCCAGTCTGGAGAATTTCACGCTGGATAATCCAAATTCAGTTTCAATAGCGCTGCCTTTTTACCAGTCCCTGATTCTGCAGTGGGTTTCTATGAAATAAGATCCACCAGACTTTTACTGCCTCGGGGAAGAGGGATTATTTACTTATCTTCAATTTGCTCATATTTGGTTTATAAAAAGCTTGCTGAGGTAAAACCTTGTAATGTTAGGTAAGACTATTGCCTAAATCTTTCTTCCTATCCAATTTACCCAAAAAGTGATGTGTAACGGTGGTATTTTGGGGAGTGTATAAAGTACTCTCAAGAGACAGCTGGGAATGAGTGTCGGAGTTCTTATGATTGTGTACAAAGCAGGCACCATTGTCCTTTAAATACCCTTGAATACACATGAAAATGACCCAAGGAAAGGCAGGAAAAAAAGCCAATTTTGTCAGCCAGCAGTGACTGGGTAGACGGAGAGAGATGGAGTGACAGCAGGGAAGGGGGAGTGATGCGAGTGGGAGTGAGGGAGATGGAGAGAAAAAGCATGCGGAGTGAGAACGAGGAGACAGACATGAAGAGCAGAAAGAGAGAACTGAGAGAGAGGAGGCGGAGATGGGGTGAACTATGACCACTCACTTGGCCAGATGCTTCATAAGCAGCCCGAGGACTTGCCGATTCCTCTCCGGTAGCTTGTGGACCAAACAGTGGACGGCTTGGATGCGAGACTCAGGACTACCCCCCTCTGTTCAAATGCAAAAAATAAAGAAAAATAAATAATGGCCGTGCACTCATTTTAATCTACAAGGATTTCTGTGAGATCATGAAGTGGCAAAAAGCCAGCACTGTTCAGCTCAAATATTACACTTTAAACAGATGATGCAACACCACACACACCGTTGATCCAAACAGATTTTGAGGTGAAAGTAAATTGAGGAAGTCAATGGAAAAAATAGTTAAGATAAAGTTTTCTGGACAGGAGGAAACCAGTAAAAGATGTTTGAAGACACAATAATGAGAGGCTATCACCCTCGGGTGTAAAGGCCTAATTACTATCCGAAGGCATATTCTTGTTCAGATAAACGAAAACGAGGTGTGATGAGCTGAACCCTCTGAATTTGGCAGCAGGGACCACCAGGCTGGCGGGGGGAGATAGCACTGCGTTGCTGTCGCTTTCGTGTAAACGGGTTGCGTTAAAAACCTCAGAGAGCATCCCCTAAACATTCCCTCACACACGTGCATCTGAACGCCCACACAGCAGCACACACAAAATATCATTACTATGGGAACGGCAAGGATTTAAACACGGGAAAAAGCTTCTTATGGCTGCTGTCATCCATCGAGACAAAAAATTATTTTATACTAATCCCCCCCCTCGTTATGAGGGCATTGCGAGCGCCTGATAAAACCATCAACCTGATCCAATTAAGGTGTTACTGGTGAAAAAACATTCACATTTGGTGTGCTTTGAAAACTTTTCAACCTGGTTCTTTTGTGGGTGATCGGGATGCTCCGATCCAATCGTGTGACAGGAAATTGGGTCCGATCAAGTGATTTTCAATAGATCGGAATCGGGTGGGAAAGAAAATTAAAACAACAGACATTGCTTTGAGTGATTTTCAAACGGAATAACAATGGCTTAGTTTTAAATTCAACAAGTTCTTCTGTATCAGTTTCCTTTGTTTCACAGATAACTCTGTAAAATTCCACAATTTAAGGTAGCTTGGGACTTCAGACCCCATAACATGTAGCGGTTAGCTAATCCAGAGCATATTTGTGGCCTAAAGAGAGAAAATGTCAGTAATTTGGATGCATTTTTAAAAAGACAACAAAGGGTGTGTAATGTGTGCAAACTGGGCATTTAACGTGGTTGAAAAAGTAAGTGCTGCTGATGCCTCACCTTAAAAAAAACAACTCTGCTCAGTTCGCTGCAACAATTCAGAAAAGCCATCCGTCACTAAAAGATACAATTAACTAAATAAATAGTCTACGGACAGCAAAAAGGCCAAGATAGAAGTACATTTCATTACATGGATGAGTGTCTGTGGTTGCAAACGTCGGGTTTTGCGTTCTCCTTGAGTGGCGATATGATCTGTTTTCTCTCCCTAACCTCACAAAGGCAGCACTCCAGGTGTTTTGTCGAAAGAAGTGACCCTGCTGCTGACCGACATGTGCCGTGCCATCCTTGTTGCTCAAAACAGTCACACACACCGAGTAAACCATTTGAAATATGAGCGACAACACCGGTAAAAAGTATTCACTCTCGTCAATTTTTCACTCTGTTATATTGCAGCAATTTGCTAAAATCAATTAAATTCAGTTTTTTTTCTCATTAACACAGAATTTTAGGCATTTATGCAGATTTATGAAAAAATAAAGATAAAAATAAAAAACAAAATAAAATGCTACCAACTTTTTGGTTGGTAAAGTGGCCTTTGTTATACATTCCAATACTTTTCCAATTTGAACATTACATGTCTAAATGGTTGGTTTTTTGGGGGATCTTTATCCTAATAGAGATGAAACTTACTTGCAAGGCTGATGAACTCTTTGTAAAGTCCATAGGTCATCAGTGGCTCAGGTAGGCTCCTGCACAGAGATGATGAGGGTGGAGGGAGGGAGGGGGTGGTTTGAAGGTGGAGGAGGAAAGCAGAAGTGAGGATGAGGGACAGAAATAGCTGGCACTGTTTTATGGGGCTGCACACAGCAATGATTAATGTGACTAGGCTAGGGGATGGAATTACAAGGCACACGCGTCTGAGACGGCCAAGTTCATCTGAAGGTAGATTCACACTGCAGTTGGATCACTGCCAAAAGTATTTAGCTTAACAGGAAACTGAAACATTTGACTTGCTTCATACCAGCAGGTGAAATAATATGGATGTGGATGCAGCCGGAACAATGTTTAGATAGCACCAAATGTCCCACGGAGTGATGAGAAATATTTATCTTTGACTTTTTTTTTCTCTCTCTCAGAAATTTAGTTTTATTGACATTAATGACAACATAATAATCAGCAACGTAAACAAATACAGGACTCACATCATTGTTAACATTTTGGCCGTTGTGACAGTTTACATGATTACTATCTTACCCAACTAAGAAACCTTCCCCAGGAGCCTCTGTTCTGAGAAACATCACCTTGACTTTAGGCCTTTCCAACCATAAGAAGATAGCACCATTTACCTAAATCTGAATGTTATTTTACTTTCCTTTACGTTGCTTTCAGCGTTAAATGATGTGGATATTTTGTTGACATATTATGAAATTATGTCACACTTGCCCTATTAACCTCGATACATTTAGCTGCTAGTGATAAAAACAACCGGATAATTATGTGTCAATAACTTGATAAAGTATATTTAAAAACACACATTTGAGCAGCTTATCAGTTTTTACAGAAAACGTACATTGAAAATCCACAACAGAATGACACAGAACATTTTTGACATAATTTTCTACAAATATCTACATGCCATAGAGAATACAGTTAACATAGATAAGAGATTGATTTGTTTTCTTATTTTGGTTTTTGTATTGTGTTGTGTTCAGCACCTTGGGACAGGAAAGCGCTTTATTTCCATCCATTTTCATCCGCTTATCCGGAGTCGGGTCGCGGGGGCAGTAGGCTAAAGCCTGATTCATGCTTCTCCGTCAGCTCCGCAAGGGACAGACACGCACGGATTGACGGAAGCGTTTTGCTCTCATACATTTCCGTCTCCTGGAGAGTGTTGCAAAGCAATTCCCCGGCAAGACAGCAGAGGGCGTAGCGCTGTTCTGTGGTATTCTGTCATGTATCCGGTCCAAGATAGTGTGTTTATTGTGTTTTTTTTTTGTATATAAGAGACTTTTTAACACAGACAAATTTGTCTCTCGTTCTCCTCCACTTCTTCATGCGCTCGCCACCTCTAAACCCACATTTCCTGTCATTTCCATCCACAAATAAAATGCTTGCTGCGCATCTTTTCACTCCTCCAGTCACGGGGGAATTAAACGTTCATATTTTAGAGTTTTTTCGCGAGGTATTCTTCAAGCTTCTCCGTGTCTGCCGCTAGTTATTCTCGACTCTTTATGTTTTTGAGGGCGCAATGGCAGAGGTGTAGACGACAGTGGTGCCCTGACCAATCACAAGCTTGCGTTCTCCGTCTCGTTTGACGGATGTTTTAAAAAGTGGGCTCGACTCCGTGCATGCTTGAGTGCCTGCCGGCGCCCTACGCAAGGACGGATAATGGTGTTGCGTGTCTTCGCACTGACGCAGACAGAGAAGCATGAGTCAGCCTTAAGGTTGGTTTATGCTTGACGCGTCTGCGAGGTTCGCACGGCTCTGCGTGGCGAAATTGCATCATTTTAACAACCACGCCCCTCCACCGCGCCTCCGCACGGCCCAAAATTTCCGCAACACGCACCTAGGAAAATTTCTAACCACGCGGACGGTCGGACGCGGAAAAACATGGCGGACCGGCAAGAACTAGTATGGCAGAGGTTCGTAAATACAGACATTTGTATGATTCAGCTCTCAGAGATCACCGTGATCAACATGTTGTTAATAATTCTTGGAGAGAGACAGCTCACACTGTCGGAAAAGACGAGGACGCTGTTAAAAATGCTGGAATGCCATGTTGTAAACAACAGTAATTTCTACTTCTACTATGGTGTAGTGTTGGATGCATGTCGTAGAGCTCCATGCTGCCCCCTCCATGCTGCCACCTATTCTTAGAATTCTGGGAAAACACTGAACTTTTTAATTGCCCTGATCTTCTTTCACAGTTATATTTCAAAAATTATAATTTGTCAAAATGGCCTATAACACCTGTGACTCTAAAGATTTATTCTGGGGGACTAAGTGGTTAAACAGCTCATTGGCTTGTTAATGTTGCAAACACCTGGACTAGCCGTTAGCTAGTCAATCCTGTCTAAAGTGAATGCTATTTCTCCCAACAGAAGCTGTTCAGAAAACCATCCACCTCAGATCAGATGGTAAAGATTAATAACTTTTCTCACTCATTTCCTACATGCAATTATTTGAAATGCCACATAAAAAGTATAACAAAACAGATAAACATAAACAACATTAAAGCTAAAATTAATTGCAATAAATAAGACACATATTATTAACTCCATTTAAAATGTGCAACACATTAAATACGATATTTCCTGATCAAGTACAAGAATGAGGATCTGTACATAACAATGATTGTATGATTGCTAACACAGACGTTACATAATATAGCTGCAATGTACACGACTCTACAGTAAATGCTGCGCAACAGTTAAAAACTAATGAGAATAAAAAGAAATGATGTGCTGAATCACTAAACTGCTAAATCCTTAATAGGATAAACTGAAAAAGATGGTTCGATAAGCTGCTAACATGTTAAAAATATAACAACAAAAGCATAAACGGCAAATAATTTACAGGTTTGTGTGCGCGCGCGCGTGTGTGTGTGTGTGTACCTCAGATAAAGCTTCAGTGCACTGGTTATCGTCTTGATATCCCAGTCTTCACTGGTCGATAGATCCACTTCGTTACTCTTCTCATCTACATGAACCATCACACAAATCATTATTGTAAAAAAGTATTTGAATATGAAGCAAAAAGCATCAACAACTACTCTATAAATTTATAACAAAGCCAAAGATATGTGTGTTACTTTGTGTTCAGCCTAGAAACGTCAAATAAGTCATATAAATATGTGACTTGTAATTAGCCATATGAGGATAAAAGCGTTGCTGGTAGCCTTGGAAGGCTGATTGCACTCCCAGTGGATGTGGAAAGAAGTTGGAGTTTCGTAGAGAGCTGCTAGTTCTATACTCATTAGAAGTTTAATTAATCCCTTACTACTTTACTGACTCCACAGGGACTCTGGAGGTGTGTTGTGCTGAAAATTCAGGGAGCTTTAGTCACACCTTAAGAAACCTCTGATGAATTACGGAAGATGTGGAAATGCAATGAGTCAGAGAGGAGTTTGAGAATGATTCGTATATTTCACAGAGCCTGAGTCACAACACGGATGGGTGGGAGGTGGTCTGATACTAGTAATTTTCTAATTTCATCCTTGCATCTCAAGCAGCACGACTGTGGTTTCTCTGGCTGGACGGCCAACAAAAATGACCTGTTTAATGTCAGGTTCTGGTTATTTATAGCCAGGTGTGTGTTTTATTTAAAGGTGCATGAAGAAAGAATATTGCTTCAGCCAAGAATTTTTTTCTAATTCACTGTTATCTCAACATTAGCCTTTTTATCCGATGATCGAGTAAAACTAAAATGGTTTCACTTTCTTTTGCTTCTAGGCCACTCATTTTACTGGTTTTCATTCTTTCCATACGATGAATCGACCCTGGTCTCGAAGATGAATTGTCACTTTTAATCAAATTATAAATTATGTACAATGTTTGTGGCAAAAATCCTGTTACTGGTTAATGCAACTTGTTCAATTTTAGTCCGGCACTCAAGCCCCCTCCTTCTGGTCCCCGGATCCCTCCGCCGGACCGAACCTTTCAGTCGGACCTAAGTTACAACGTCACAGGAGAGCCACTACCGGACTGTAAAAATCGCTGTTTCAGTCGTCTCTCTGAACATTTTCAATTGTCCCATTTAGTAATGAAACACGAGTCTGAAAGCAGCTTTGCTTTCTCGCTTTCTCAGCCGTCAGGTCTGCAGATCAGCTGATCCAGAAGCAGAGAAAAAGGATAAACCTCCAAACTTATTTTATCATTGTCAACAATAAAATGCAGCAAAGCATCATTTTACTTGCAATTATTCACTACTGAAAAACTTCTATGAGCAAAGGAAAAACAAGAAAAATGAACCACGAAAGCTGTAAGAAATATAATTTCTGTTTTTACATTTTTCATTTCAGTTCAGCTATTTAGAATTTTGTATCTTCATCACATTTAGCTTGTATTTTATTTTAAATATCTTCAGCTTTATTCATTTTAAGAGAATCTTTGTGTTGCATTATTTAGAAGAAAATAGTCATACCATTACAATTATCTAAAATATATATTTTTATTAGTGTTGCATGTTAAATGTTCTTCAAACTGCAGTTTATACTTTTTAGAACTATGTGTTCATTTATGACAAAAATACTTTACATACTATGAAATGCAGACCCCCCCCCACCACCACCACCACCTTCAGAGGGGACACCCACTTTTTCCTGAAGGGTCACCCACTTTCCCAGTTTCTGGCTAGTAACCAATACCCTGATCTTGCCAAAACTGTCGTAACAAAGACTGAAAGGGGAGCTCAATGTGACAGTTTTCTTCCTGCTCGTCATTCAATAGGGGCGGTTTTCTTTGTTCTGTGATCTGATCAGGTTGTTTTTGTCTTTAATCAGTGTGTCCTAGCAGCTTGAACTGTGGATATATTGATGAATGAAGGATGAAACTAAGACAATTTTTAAGTGTTTTACACAAATTCATGTACATACGAGTGTTAATATGTCTGTGGAGATGGGATTAAATGTGTACTTATGCTTCACCCATAATAATCTGTGATCAAAACTTCAACTGTATTCAAGAAAGACTTCTCAAAGTTTTTGCAGCAATGCGTTACTGATGCCTACAGGATGAATCTGCAGGTTGGCAGACTATATGGTCAGAGAGAGAGAGAGAGAGAGAGAGAGAGAAAGCGAGAGAGAGAGAGAGACAGAGAGAGAGAGAGAGAGAGAGAGAGAAAGCGAGAGAGAAAGAGAGAGAGAAAGAGAGAGAGAGAGAGAGAGACAGAGAGACAGAGAGAGAGAGAGAGAGAGAGAAAGCGAGAGAGAGAGAGAGAGAGAGAGAGAGAGAGAGAGAGAGAGAGAGAGAGAGAGAGAGAGAGAGAGAGAGAGGGTGTGTTGAGTCAGTCTGGCGGCTTCCTGAGCTTGTTGTCATTCTGAACGCAGAGCTGAAAGTGAGGTGGTGTCTGCTGGAGACAGCAGGAAACCACAGAGCTACAGAGAGGACAGAGGACACGCTCTGTAGCAAAGGAGTTGGATGAAAGGGAATAAAAACAAGTGAGATGTATAAAAGACAATGGAGAGAGGCAGCTGACAGAATGAGCCTGCCACGAGATCATGAGAGGGCTGGCTTAGAGCTGTGTTGATCAAGCGAAACCCAAAAAGGCAAGGACTCCCTGATTCTTGGGTTTGAGGGAAAGTTTGCATGACTCAGATAAGCTGAGTCATGCATTATTCTCAGCACTTTTTTCCTTTCGTACCAACAGCAGACCCTTTGTGTCGTCATAAGGAAAACATAATTTCACGCGAACAACTTATGGAAACTTCTAAATGAAAGCGAACCCAGCCAGCAATAACAATGAACCACTTACCAATCATCAATGAGAGAAGTTTCTGGACTTTGGAGCTCACCCCCCCAACGCGATACAGACCCTGGTCATTAATACCTAAAAAGACATAATGAGAAACAGCAAATACAAACTAATAAAGATGTGTTAAAGGAAATTACACTACACATATTTTTGAAATTCAACTTGTAGTAATGAAGAAATGGAATAAGAGGAACTAGGCCATTTTCCCCTAAAAAAAGGAGGTCAGAAAATCACTGGAGCTAATTCATTCAGACCATTCGTTCTACACAAGAAAAGCATTTGAATATCCACAATAAAAGCTGCCTGAAGCACCTGCTGGTTGGTCTTTTTTCTTCCAATATTGGAGAAACCCTGCCCTCTTGTGCATTAAACCAGAAACTGCACAAACACCAGCTGTTAATGGATACAATTCTAGATGTTTCCTTTACTGACCTAATAAAAGCCAACGTTTTGAACTCACCTCTTGACTCTATTGCACTGATGGAATACTTCATAAAGTTTAAACCCACATCGTCCAACTGGGCATCAACTAAGAGTGGAAACAATAGGTTTAAATTCAAATTTATTTAAATCCTTTCATGAATTTTAAACGTGGTGCAGCCAGAAACGTACTTCCTCGTTCTTTAGACTGATTACCACCAAAATACCCCAAACCAATCTGATGAAAAAAGTGCACAATAAATTAAATGATCAACATATGATTTTACATTCATCTGACAGATAGCTGTACTATAAGACAGCACTAATGGTTAAATTAGACATGAGCGTGTGGCAGATGGTGAAATGGTAGAGGTTGACTCACAGGCTCCTTCCCACCCATGGCCTGCATCCAGAGCTTGTAGTCATCTTCTGACAGGGCCTGCACAGTGAGCACCGTTCCTGGCCTGCAGGACAGGCCTCAGAGTTTCAGTATGGTAAGACATGGAGGGACTTCAGTTCCAACTTACAACATCTGATGAGTTTAGTGTCCTCTGATAACAAAATACTCACAGTCAAAGGACACCTGCCCTTTGAATTTACTCTAACTACAAACCTGAGCCCCGTGACACACACATTCATTTAGGACTAGATGCAGTACATGTGGCAGTCAGAATGGATGTGCATGCTCAACTTTCAACTCTATTAATACTACAGAGGAAGTGCTAAGTAGGATTAAGTTGTGAGACAGAATGGGGTATCTGTTACAGGAGGGTGTGACGAGCGTTCTCTGCACACAGCAACAAGCTGGAAGTGGATGAAGATCAGCTCTTTAACTAATAAATGGAACAGAGGTTACATTTACATGATCAGTCAATGCCAAACAAGGGGAACCGGGATATATGTTGTACTGCATTCCTTTTACATTTCTAAACACTAACATGCATCTGGAGCTGTGCACAACTTGTTCATAACTGCTCAAAGTTCCTAGTGGTGTGGGATACAGGAACAGAGATGCATCACTTTTACTTATTTGAGAGGTTTTGTAGCCGTTAACAATATGTGTGTGTGTGTGTGTGTGTGTGTGTGTGTGTGTGTGTGTGTGTGTGTGTGTGTGTTTGTTTGAAGCTCTTATTGTGAAGGCTTGAAAGAAGTTTTGGGGCCTTTGGTGCGGTCGTAAAGACTGCACCCCCAACTGATCTTGTATATCAGGTGAAGTACACCTATAGATCTTTGCTACGATAATAATAATAAAACACTGGAAACATACTGGAAAATAAGGTTGGGTGATATATAGAAAATGTGTGTGGGCCTAACATAAACACTGCAGCTATCCACCAATCAAAAATATTTCTTCATTTGTATGCAGAAGACAACCATAATGGCTTCTCCTTTTAGAGTGTTCTTTTCTGATTTCATTGGCTCTTGGTTCCGGTTGGCCATCTGATGCATCAATCAACAACTAACTGCGCCATAATATGTTTGACCTACTCGTTTGTGCTCGAGATGGCTCTACTCAGTCGGTGATATTAGGCTTTGAATGGTGAATTAGACGTTACCTTTCTCAGTGGCCTAGTGGTAGAGTGTCCGCCCTGAGACTGGGAGATCAGGGGTTCATACCAAATGGGCCATTCCCATCTGTACCGGGTCGGCTCGGGCCGGGTAGCCCCCGTCGGCCCCAGCCTGGCCCGGTTGATTCCACACATCCTTGCCTTAAGCCCATGTGGGCTGATTCTACCCACCAATCAGAAGCTTGCTCTAATGGAAGGTGTGAATTTGATGTCAGCAGTGGGTGTGTTGGCCCTGGTCGGCCTGAAGCAGACCCCCTCGAGAAGAGGGCTGAGAATGAGCCTTGGTTGGCCCGGAAAAATACCAGGCCACCCAGATATGTAAACAACCTACACTACCCGGCCCGGGCCGACCCGGTACAGATGGGAATGGCCCAAAAGACTTTGAACAAATGGGACCCAATGCCTCCCTGCTTGACACTCAGCATTAACGGGTTGGATTGGGGGGTTAAACCACCAAATAGTTCCCGAGCGCGGCTGTGTCTGCAGCTCACCGCTGCCCCAGGGGATGGGTCAAATGCGGAGAATAAATTTCGCACACACACCTGTGTGTGTGACAACTAATGAGACTTTAACTTTACTTTGAATTTCCGAGTGGTTTGACTAAACCGCTCCTTACATATTATTGACAGTCTGGACACTTTTAAAAAAACAGCTAAAGACCCTTTTATTTAAAGCTGCTTTTTACCTAAATCTTTTCTTTTCTTATTTTTAACTCAAATCTGTAATCGTCTTTCATCTGTTTACGAAATTTTATAAATTTATAACTTTTTATTTCATGATTGCCACATATATCAGTAGAATCACATGAATCTTTCCAATGTCCAATCGCCCAACCTCACTAGTAAATTTAAGGGTTCAACATTGGGATTGACTCGTATTATTTTAAAGTGTTTCTCAGCATTTCAGCTTTAACTCATTACCTGCGATTGACGATTTTAAAAATTGCATTTTTAACGAGGCGGGCCTTGGACGCAGCTCCCGCACCTTGAGAGTTAACATCGCAGCTCTTAAGCTGACCTTCACCCATGTGTGGCATACGTCACGTGATCAGGAAGCAGAAAAATCCATGAATTGGGAGATCGCTTTGGGACACTGCTGTTAAGAAAGTGAGGCGCTAACCGGAAAAGCTTCTGCAGCTCACACTTCGACAACGGATTGTGAAAGAAAGGAAAAAGCTAGAAACACACCGATGTTTCCTGATGTAAGAAGTGAGCCTACTCTTTCTTTTGGTAGCTTTGGTGTTTACATGATCATAAAGCACAATATTTTGTGACTCTTCAAAAAAAAAAGAAAATAAACAGTAAAAATGCTCAGAAATGCTGGCAGATGTTTTCAGTGAATGAGTTAATAAACGTCTCAAATTTGTTTTTTGCTTTTTGTTGTTTTTTTACTCAGTGGCCCTAATCTGCTGTCATACTTGTGAGATGTAGTGAAACTACAAAATGTAAAGGTTTGGTTGTTTTTATGTTTTAAACAGGGTGAAGCGCCACCGTACCGATCTGTTATTTCCAGGTCAAAGCAGAATCTCCTGTCCAACATGTCGGTCGTTTTACGGAGACACGATTTGAGAGTGATGGACTCTGTCTCACCCTGAAAAAAGAAATGTTTACATTTCACATTCAGAATATTGTTGGCGATGAGAACATAATCAACAGGGATAAATAACATGTATGGCATTAGCAAGGCTCAGCGGTGCACGTTTGCAACTACTCACAATCTTTCCACCTGATCTGTGGTCAAATGTCACCATGTGCAGGATCTTCTGCTCTTTGACAAATGTGCAGTAGCGCTTCACCCAGCTTGAACCAAAAGGAGGTGGTCCTAGACAAACGACACAGCATGAACATCAAACATACCCATAAAATTTAGACCAACAGTAGATGGGTCTGGCCACACTCCATTGTAGTCTCAGCAGGTCTACTACTGGCTTGAACAAATGTAGATTTGACCAATTACAGCCCTCTGTTTGTGCGGACACGTTGGGCATGCTTAGTGCCAGAGATGTGAAGTCCCTCTCCTGGGACTTCTTGTGCTGCTAAACATTTTTGCCTGCCCTCCCCCTGCCACATTTGGTCCTGGGGTCCCCGCGCTCTGGCTTGGAGCCCCTTCGTCTTCTGCACATCTTTGGGGGGCAGATCTGTGGTCATTCACACTCTCTATTGGACGCTCCTGAATAGTACAGTCGCCACTGACCACCCCTCCCCCTCCACTGCCTTCTCAGTGACAAAAGAGGAAGTGCTTAGGGTTTTCCGTAAGCAAAACACACGGAAATCCCCGGGCCCGGGCGGTGTCTCCCCCGCTACCCTGAGACACTGCGCAGAGGAACTGTCTCCAATCTTCACGGACATCTTTACCATCTCCTTGGAGTCCTGCCACGTTCCAGCCTGCTTTAAGCTGTCCACCATTGTCCCTGTCCCAAAGAAACCCCGTGTCACTGGACTGAATGATTACAGGCCTGTGGCGTTGACGTCTGTAGTCATGAAGTCTTTTGAGCGCCTGGTCCTCCCTCATCTCAAGTCCTTCACCTCCCCCCTCCTGGACCCTCTGCAGTTCGCATACAGAGCTAATAGGTCTGTAGACGACGCCATCAACCTGGCCCTCCATTTCATCCTGCAGCACCTGGACTCCCCGGGAACCTACGCTAGGATCCTGTTTGTGGACTTCAGCTCTGCGTTCAACACCATCCTCCCTGCTCTGCTCCAGAACAAGCTCTCCATGCTCAACATACCCAATTCAACCTGCAGGTGGATCACTGACTTCCTGATGGACCGAAGGCAGTGCGTGCGGCTGGGAAAGAATGTTTCCACCATTCAGACAATTAGCACAGGATCCCCACAGGGCTGTGTACTTTCTCCTCTGCTCTTCTCCCTGTACACCAACTGCTGCACCTCGAGCCATGACTCCGTTAAACTGATCAAGTTTGCGGACGACACCACCCTCATCGGGCTCATCTCTGACGGTGATGAGTCCGCCTACAGGAGGGAGGTGGATCGGCTGGTGTCCTGGTGCAGCAGCAACAACCTGGAGCTCAATGCTCAGAAGACAGTGGAGATGATCGTGGACTTCAGGAAAGTCACAGCCCCATCTCTCCCCCTCGTCCTGACTGACTCCCCCGTCACCACTGTGGACTCCTTCCGCTTCCTCGGAACCACCATCACACATGATCTTAGGTGGGAGCCATCCATCAGCTCCCTGCTCAAAAAGGCCCAGCAGAGGATGTACTTTCTGCGGCAGTTGAAAAAGGCCAAGCTGCCGGCCCAGATGATGGTGCAGTTTTACACCGCCATCATTGAGTCCATCCTCACCTCCTCCATTGCTGTGTGGTACGCTGGAGCCACAGTGAGGGACAAACATAAGACTGCAGCGCATTGTGCGCTCCGCTGAGAAGGTGATTGGCTGCAGCCTTCCATCTCTCCAGGACCTGTACATCTCCAGAACTCGGGGGCGTGCAGGCCGGATAGCAGCTGACCCTTCTCACCCGGGACACAGACTTTTTGAGCCGCTTCCCTCAGGCAGGAGGTTACGGTCCATCCGGACCAGAACCTCCCGCCATAAGAACAGCTTCTTTCCATCTGCCGTTAGACTTGTGAATAGATTATAAATACACAACCATGTTCGTCTGCTGTACTTGACATAACGTCACGTTATCTGCCATGTTACCATTACCTGCCTTTTTTTTATAGCTGAATGTTTTATGCTAGTTTTATTATATTTTATTCTACTTATTCTATTTTTGAAATTTATTATTCATGTTACATGTAGCACATTAGTACCGAAGCAAGTTCCTAGTTTGTGAACTGCTTGTTCACTGACAATGGCAATAAACCTTTTCTGATTCTGATTCCTATAGAGAAACAGTACATATACAAGCACGTGTATGTACACACACAGGTGCTCACATGATGCTCTCATAGGTATGGACTTGGGCATTTTCAACACATGTCTTAAGGCTGTGGTTGGTACTTAATGCACTGTGATTTATTATCGTTTGATCGTTCAGTAAAACAATGTTGATTTTATATTTCCTCATCAGGTTGACGCAGTGATGGCTTGCTCTTGTTGTATAGTTGTGTGTCCCTTTTTTTGGTTGGTTGGTTTTCTCTTTCTGCAGGTCTAGAAGCAGACTCTTGTTCATCACTGATTGTTTATTTTTGTGGATTGTATTTTTTTGCATTGTTTGCTGCTCTTAATGGTCCTAGTTCTGCCCAATTGCATGCAGAGACAGTTTGAAAGACAACCGTAGATCTGGCCCTACGATTTGTCAATGGATTGTGGCCAGACTGTTTATTTACATATATAGGACTTGCAGGGCTTCATCGGACATCCTCATGATCAAATCTCTTTGATAAGATACTAGAGCAGCAGCAGCTCAGGATGTAGAGCGAGTGATCCTATACAAGTGTGAGTCATTTATCATGCAGAACAACAATAGTATATCTAAGCCTTACGTTTTTCTTGTACATAGAGGTAGCCTTCAAAACTAATAGGGCTGGTCTGTCTGTATACTTGGGGTGTCTCACTAAACCTTTTCATCAGATATGCCACCTCAGATCGTGTGCCCTCGAATCGACTCCTCGTCTGGAAGAGAGAGAGAGAGAGCAAACACACACTCCAGGAAGTGAATTTTTAATCCACTTTAAGGCGACCTTTCAAAACAAAGGCTTCTGACTAAAACAGGCTTATGGACTTCAACAGAAAAGCCCATTATCTTTATGAAATGAGTTTAATATTAGGCAGAAGTGCAAAATGCAAGGATGCAATTAAAGATAAATCAGTGCAATGAATAAATATTTTTAGAAAGTAAAAAATCCAGCATGCTCTCCAAAATTTGACAGTAAAAATTCAAGCAGACATAACTAGTAGACCTGAAACTGACAATTTAAAACAACTGATCTAATTATAAATATGATTAAAAAAACAAGAACTTTTCTTACATTCTGAATATTGATCTGCAGTGCTCTTTTATAATGATCAAAGTCCTTGGCAAGCTCATAACCTTGGTGATAAAAGGTGAATAAAGTCTGAAAGAAAGCCAGCATCTAAAAAGAACAAAACAAAAATAGTTTTGTAATTGTAAGGTCCGAAGAGAAGAGAAGAAACAATGCTGATGCATCAGTACAGAAATTCTACAATGTCAATGTTTTGTGCATGCAAAACCCATTTAAAGCTTTTTACTACGAGATGCACAGAAGATTTTTAACATTTACTTTAAAACAATACTCCTTTGATCGTATCCATGGTTACTCACCGGTTCCACACACTCAAACTTTTTTTTTTCTTGGATATCTTGCAGCTTACACACATAATTAAGTGACTCCCCCTGAAAGGCCTGTCTTAGGGTTTCCACCTGGACATCGGCCTGGAGAGGTGGAGAACACACAGCAGGATAATTATAGCCACAGAGAGGTGTGCTGACAAAGACACTCAAACATGCAGTTGGAAAATTACATTACTATAAAAATCTATGGTTAGTAAACTTGATTTAAATAATATGTTTGAGTAACAAACTGGTCTCTGACGGCTGCATAAAACGCATATCCTCCATCTTTTGATCCTTGATTTGGATTTTATTTATGCCACACACTTGCACATGAAACACGAAAGAAAAGTAAATAATTAAAAGGTGCAAAAGAAGAGGAAGACCAAAAGACGACAAATTCCTCTTCAAGAAAAAGGAAAGACAGCAACAGTCCAGGTCAAGGTGAACTCAATCACAAAAAACCCCCACAGGGATGAGAGGTTCAACCACACACAGAAAACGTCCTCCAGGAGAAGAGACTGACCCTTTCAGATTATTTTGTTTGTGCTATTGTTTGTTTTGTTGTGCGAGCATTAAAGCAAACAAAACAAACACTTGTTTCATGTTTTTTTACATAACCTATTATCTCAGTAAAAGCTGTTCATTGTTGTTAAGGAAGTGTTTCTATATATTTTTTGAAATTTCATAAATGTCAAAACCCATAAAATAACAGGTCAGCAAATAACGACACTGAAACTTTGCTCCTCTAAAGCAGCATTAAGACGAATAAAGTCTTACCTACTCACCCACATTTTAACGTGTTTATAATGCTATTCAGAGAGCTGACATAGCAGCAGATGGAGTTTATGGCTAAGGACTGTCAGAAAATCTCTTGGACTTCATGTTAAAGTGTGATAGAAGTCATTTATTATGAGAGTCAGAGAGAGCAGAGCAGCCTAAAAGACTAATGTTCGTAGATTTAAAGCTACAGTGTTAAATCAGCAAAACAAGCTTGCATTAAACATTCAGTCAAATTCAAGCTCTTTTCAAGCATTATCAAGGTTAATATTAGAATTTTTCAAGCACCACGCTTCTGAGATAAATTCAATTCAATTCAAAGATACTTTATTAATCCCAGAGGGAAATTAGAGTTTCAGTACACACAATTCTGAGATCAGACATGCATACGTGGACATAGACACATGACAAGAACTGGTGACTGTGGTCATTCGCAACCCGAGTCGCGCTACCTTAAAGGTAATCAGAGGGTTTATATAAGGATTGAGTCAGGTGCAGGAAAAAAAAGGCACTTCAGAGTTGCCCTCCACAGAGAGGGCAGCTTTGCTATGCAAAAAAAAACCCCACCTCAGACAGAAATGCAACGGACTTCAGACATTACACAACAAAAGTGTCCACTAGGTGGGGAGGTAGGGGTGGGGACTCTCCTCACATCAGTGCATGCAGCTGCAATGAGCAGCGCTCGTCACCTCCGTTTGGACAGGGGAAGGAGGAAATTGGGTTACAGTGACACAGTGACTCCTGGAAACGGTTCCACGACCTTCACCGGTCTCAGTCCCGCCCAGGCTGGGATAGGGAGACAGAGTTGCCATGGCGACGACAGCATTCCACATTTCTTCTTAGGGGGGGTAAACACTTCAGCCTCACAGGCTCGAGGGCACCAGATTCAGATAAGAACTTGTTTTGGGGCCAGACAGAGATAATTTCATCTCTGTCTTAAAGTTCTGTTGATCTCCAACCCCTCTCGATCCAATAATGGCGTAAATTAATCTATCCCAACCGTGCTGACCTGTCAACTCTCTCTTTGATCAAATCCACCTTCTTTGCCAGAGTCTGAATCTCAGCCAAAGTTCCAAGCTTACGACTCATCTCGACAATTATATGAGTTTGTGTCCTCACAGCGCGGTGTAATCCGTCCCTGAGCTCCAGGATTGAGCCAATATTCCTCGACAGCTCATTAATTTTCCGGTAAGCCAGGTAACCACTCAGACCAAACAGCACGAAACCGGACACCAATACCACAAATATCCAGACGTCTTCAGAATCCTCTACAGACAGTTGAGAGGGACAGACCAGGTTCCACTGTTTCCAGGAGTCCATGATAGGCCCAGCTGGCTCTGTCCCAGAGGGGCATCCGGGAGCCCCTTCTCCCGTTATCATCGTTGAAAAAATGTTGTCTATCGCGTTGAGAGACCAACTGACCAGGTCCATTTTTAATCATTTCCAGTTTCCAGAAAAAATGCAGAAGTGCCGTACATCAAAAGACAGACAGAGCCTTGGGATTAGATAGGGAGGAGAGGAGGAAAAAAGCGTCTGTACTCTCCAAGAGCCGGAAGAACAATACATAAGAACTCAAGAGAACAGTTCTACCTCACTATCATATGAAATGATTTATTACTGTTCACAGGATCAAAAATCAGGCCTGATCACATGATTTTAAATGGTCAGAATTAGATGGAAAAGATTGGATATATAACCTTATAATGCAAATAGCATGTAAATTTATCCTGAAAATGAGATTTGCAAAACGTAACCACAATGGCCTAGTTTAAATTTTTAACAGGTCTGCATTAAGTTCTAGTCTGTCACCTTAAAACCAAACACTGTTCTCCCAGTTCAGCAGCAACTCGGACAAAAACATGCAGCCAGCTGAAACTGAGACATGCTTTAAAAACAATTGCTTACAAACAGCAACAAGATCACAAGTAGGATAGCAATAATCACACTGGTTTGCTGTAGCAAACGTTGGGTTTTGCACTGGAGCCGCAGTATGAGCTACTTTTTTGTCACCATTTGACACACGCAGCTCTCAGTCCCAAAGTAGAGCTTTCACTCACGCGACTAGTATAGCAGTTTGCTAGGTGGAGTGTGCTGCTCACACACCGGTGTTACAGAAAGGAGCTGACCCACTCAGGGAAGGTTTGACTTTTCTCGTTAAACTATCTGGATTGATCTTAAATGCAAAAATGTGCACTTTTATTCTCAAGCATTTGCAAAGACCTAAAGGTGTGGAACACTGAAAAAACATTTTTTAATGATTGGTCACTGAGCTTTTCATGCAGGCTGAACATGAAAAAAACAACGCTACACCTATCTCATACATTAGCTTCTGATAGACAGTAGACCGTAAAATACTAGGCTTTTTAAAAGCCCGACTGATCTACGTCACACTGTTATTTAACATTCATGGACTCATCTTATTTTGATTTGCGACGTTTTAGTTTTAGTGTACATAAACAGAAGAGCACCCCTCAGCTGGTAGAAGCTAACTGTTAGCATTAGCAACGCTGCCACATGGCAGAACTCCTTCGGACTCGTGTTATTTGTGGCGATAAAACACTGATGGATTTCTAGCACCCGTACAAACCCTGTAGTGTCTCGTTTACTTGAGCAATGCACATTCCCATGTCAGGGGGAAGCGGACCGGGATGATAGCCGATGGTAGGGGGGAGAGTTCTGTGAGTCTGTGTTTAAAAGTAATCTTGTTTTGCAGATTTGCTATTGTAGCTTCCAGAGTCCCAAACACAAGAACACACAGAAGCCTTGTTTAATAAAAGGCTGCTGAATTCTCACCAACAGCTGCTTAAGCCACTACCGCTCTCGGTGGCATAGCGCCAAAAAAAGAAAAAGAAAACATTTCCTTTTTAAGAAGAGATGTAAACCACTGACCACGAGACTGTTTACCAGGTGTAGCAAACTAGCCACTTCCTTACCGCCCTCCCAAACACAGAAACACATGAAACAAAGATTGCTGCTCATCTTTCTGTCATAAATATAAGGTTATGTGTGCGTTTCGTGTCCATCTGAGAGCTAAATACCTCTTGTAGCTGTGGCTCTTTCTTCTTTGCAGACATATTTAAAAGCTTTTCCAGGGAGCTGTAGTATTTCTCCGTTTCTTTGTCGTACTTTTTTCTTTCCGTCTTAAAAAGAATAAATTGAAAAGAAAAAATAAATATTATTTTGAAGGTGAATAAAAAGTTACAATTAGATGGCAAACATTTTTCTAGTGCTAAAACAAACACATATAAATGATTAACATACACCAAACACCTCAGTAGCGCTATTGAACACACGGAGTAAAAAAATGAACAATCATACATTACCCTCACTGCACCGATCTGCTCTTTCCTGAACTTCTCCAGAGGTTTCATTAAAGTTTCTGTGATGTTTCTCATCTAAAGGGAAGGTAGATGCAGTTACTTTCATCTCAGTGAAGACCATTAATATTTTATATCCTTAGTAATGAATGCTTGTTTTGTGGAGCTTTTTGGTTGTGGGGTGCTTTACTGTGATTGACCCTAGACTAGACTCTCTTTGAGCTTTAGATGCTCTCAATGTGAAGTTTTAAAGTTAGAAATGAACTGGATGACTTTGAACAATGTGCAACAATATTGTAACTCCATTGGCATCAATTGCAAAATCCCATTAAAGTCCCATAGCATGCATAAACCACATCTTCAGACACAGTTTCTGCAGTAAATTCCAACCAAACCCTTTAAAACAAAGTGACTGAATTCACAAAAAGCAAGAAAATGTGATGAAAGTGGAAACCAACTAAACTGTGGGCTGACTTGTTTATGAGTTTCTTGTTTAGCTGCTGTGTAAAAATGCACAACTTGAAACGTGATTTTAGGACGCAGGTTAATGCCTGTGTAGTAACACCAGTGTAGTCATTCTCTCTCTCCTGATAATAACTTTTTGCTTTCCTTGACGTTGGATGTGCTACTACTAGTTTACCCGTTTAATTATAGATCCACTAGGATAAATACAATAAAGTTTATCTTTCACCAAATAGAATATTTACTAAGACATCACAATGTAACTGTAGACACATTACTTGTCTTTACTTGTCTTTGTCTTTGTCTCTGTGTGTGTGTGTGTGCCTCTGTGTCTGTGTGTGTGTCTGTGTCTGTGTCTGTGTGTGTGTGTGTGTGTGTGTGTGTGTGTGTGTGTGTGTGTGTGTGCGTGCGTGCGTGCGTGTGTGTGTGTGTTCTGTCTTCTCGATCCCCAGTGAGTCGTGGAGGATGGCTGCTTATACTGAGCCAGGATTCTCTGGAGGTTTCTTCCTGTTAAAAGGGAGTTTTCCTCTCCACTGTCGCTTTATGCTTGCTTAGTATGAGGATTGCTGTATAGTCACTGACACTAGTTAGTGACGTGATGCAATTTGCTGGGTTCCTTATATAGGAAACATTATTTCTGACTGGCTTAATGAACTGACCTGAATTGGAATGTTTATTATGTGAAGTGCCTTTAGACGACTCTTGTCGTGATTTGGCGCTATATAAATAAACTTGAATTGAATTGAATAGTCCTCCTGTGGTGTTTCTGCTGTGCTGTCAGCAGGACATGTCTGTGCATGCATCCCCTTTTCCCTTACTTTGCACTGTGATGTCATTGCACTATGCCGAGGAGTGCTTACCACCTTGGTGTAAGCCTAGCGAAACAGTGATCAACTAATGATGGGTTCTCATCCTAACCTCAGACTCTACACACAGATATTACAGGAAGATAGTCATTTACACAGTGACGTGAGGCACTGTAAACTGTGCATCACAATTTGAGGGACTATGCCAGGTCACATACCTATTCAAATTTCTAAAGTCTTTAAATGCCTGCTTTTAAATTTTAATTTTCTACTGGAGGTGTGACTGCTGCAGCATTTAAAACAGCAGACTTTGATACTGCTTGTTGAGTAACAAGCCAGTTTATGGGTTTGAGCAGCTCATTGCTGCTCATAACATATATGGTGTTATTTAAAGATTGTGCGTAATAACTCCAGCCATCTGTGCAGTCACTCCCAGGCAGGGTGACACTGACCCTGAAGCAGCCACAAGCAGAGGAACAGTTTCTATAATATACCAACTAGGAAACCGAGTCTACTGAAAGATGTGGATTCAAAGTGAGTTAGCAAGAAACTTATGTGAATGTTTTCTAAGGAATCAGGATGGATGATCACATAAACTCGGTCGAATGCAAAAGCCAAGCAACTGAAAGCCATTTGGAAAAAAACTGGTCAACACCGACAAGAATCAGATGCTAAGGAAAGATGGTTGTTTATTTGCATAATTGTTAGGGATGTTTCGATAATTTATTTTTTTATTTTTTGCTCCCAATCAGAGTCCGAGTCATTTGGTTTTGAGTACCGCATTGACCCCAATAAAGGACGACCCCGATTATAAGACGAACCCCTCTTTCCAAGACTGATCTTCAGAAGAAAAAAAAAAACACTTTAAATAAACTACTTTTCATCAAAAATCGATAACTAATAATGAGCAAAAATTCAACATTAAAGCAAACTATTAGAACTTTGCTGGCATGTGAAATCAAAAGTTTAATGAGGCTTTTATTCAGACACCCTCTGCCTCGCTGTACTCACTCACTCTCATGCTGCTGCGGGGTGTACCATCAGATCACTACACCTGCCGGCTCCTCCCACTGAACGTCATCCTCACTGACAATGCATGCATGCAATGTTTGACGCCTCTGCTACCTAACCACCGTCATCTTAAAATTTGCATAACTCTGCCTTATAGCTTGTTAACTTGCCCCACTTTCGGTCCACTCTGCTCCGGACCTCTCGTCTCCATTTTTTTCTCCTGTTGAGAGCATACAGTCTGGCGCTCTCTACTGTTTCAGCCATGTAATGACCCCCCAGACAAATAGCGTGTGAAAGCTCAGACCCCGATTATAAAACAACCACAGATTTTAAAATTATTTTCAATGAAAAAAAACCTTGTCCTATATTCTGGTCAATACGGTATTTGCAAACACCGAGTCCTGATCCGATACTTTAGAAATGCACAAAATTAAGAAAAAAAGTGTAAGAAATATGCAGCTTTTGCAGAATTTTTGCTGTCTGTAGACAATTTCTGTTTAATAATTTTTTTTTTTTTTTACGTATGTTTCAGAGTTGGCTATGTTTTTCTCCGAGTTGCTGCGATGAACTGAGTTAGTTTTTTTAAGGTGGTGTATCAGAGTTGATGTGTTGAACGCAGCACTATCTTTACCACCAGGTTAAGAACCCAGTTTATACACGTGTCTATTATATTCCCTTTGCTGTCCTAAACAAATACAAACATTTTCTCTCTGCTGAGGCAACAAATAAACTCTGTATTAGCCTGCAAGCTAGCAGGTACATGTTTTGCTATCTGAATTCCTCAACTACCTTAAATTGCGGGACGTTATGCTGTTGTCATATGTAAAGCAATGAATATTGATGAAGAAGAACTTGTTCAAATTAGAAATAATCTTTCCGATTCCGATCTTTTGAAAATCACCTTATCGGGCCCGATTTCCAATCACGTGATTGGATCAGAGCGTACCTTATAATCGTGTTGTCATTTACAGTTAATTACTTATATATACCACATATAAGCATGAACTGTAGGAGAGACTGATTCAAAGCTATTTATGTAAATCAGGGCTGAGCAATATGGCCTAAAATCAATGTCACGATATATTAAGGATTTCACCTTGATAACAATAAATGGACGATAACTACAGGTATGCGCAAAAAAAAAGTTGTCCACTAGATGGGGCTGTCACACGTATTACATTAAGTCACATTTTTACATGACTCAAGGTGGTACAGCTTCTTAAAGTGACATGAATGTTGCCAACCTACAAACACCTTTTCATTTTTAATTATCAAATTTATTGAGATGGGAAAAATGATCTCGATAAGAGTCCGAAATTTTGATAACAATAAATTTTCGATTTATTGCCCAGCCCTAATGTAAATTTTAAAAAGCTGTTTGGGTTATAATTAATCATGGTACGAAGGTTTTCCTTTACTAAAAAAAATAATAATTGTGCACAGTTATATTTTAAAAATATTCCAACAGCATTATAAAATATTTTATATTTATATACAAGTTGTGGTGCTGCCATTTTTATCACACACGCAAAATATCTCATGAACCCGTGGATAACCTTGAATAAAATCAGTTATAATGTACATCTGCAGTTAATTAATTTTTGCTATCAGTACTAATCAAGATGGCCGAAACAGCTAATTGACATTCGCAAACACACAAATCTCAGTTATACAACATTTAACACAACACCCAGGTAAATATAGATCTGATCAGATGGAAATCAAATCCTTCTAATGGCTGGTCTAGCTAAACCTGATGTCTGATTGGGATAAAGCAGAAGATTTTACTTTCACTTTCACTAATTCTGCTTGTGTCAGATGATTAATTACACTTGTAGATAATTAATGGGGGTGCTGCCATGTGTGTAAATGCAGACAATTTTCTTTTCTTCCTGGGAGTGAGCAACAAAAAACACTCCTACAAACAAAAAGTAGGCTTCTGCTAAACTTTTGTCATGGTTCAGTTTAATTACTCGTGAGCCTAAATTTAACAGCAGACATAACAGATGGAATAAATGCCTCACCAAATTAGAAAAAGCAAAGTATTGCTTTTGCTATCCCACTTTTTTTTTGTAAACTTGTTTCTTGCTGAGTTGCATTTATTACAAAAGTACTTGTGGGAACTCAAGAAAAAAAATCACACAACCTTGCAAATCTAGTTTCTCTCTCTCTCTCTCTCTCTCTCTCTCTCTCTCTCTCTCTCTCTCTCTCTCTCTCTCTCTCTCTCTCTCTCTCTCTCTCTCTCTCTCTCTCTCTCTCTCTCTCTCTCTCTCTCTCTCTCTCTCTCTCTCTCTCTCTCTCTCTCTCTCTCTCTCTCTCTCTCTCTCTCTCTCTCTCTCTCTCTCTCACACACACACACACACACACACACACACACACACACACACACACGGTCCTTTCCTTCATGCAGAAGGCAGGTTTTGACTGGTCATTCTCACCATTAGTTCTCTTTGATCTTCTAAGTTTTTGAGGAATGAGGAGAACTCTTGTAAAGACTCATCTGTAGAAACAAAAAAAAAACAAAAAACAAACTTTAATGTTCAAAAAGGATTTAACTCACACACTGAGTAGTTTACCCGACAGCTCATGAGACCAGGCACTGTGATTACGAGTAAAGAGCTGTCCTAATTTACTGGTAGAGGAAAAAGAAGGTGTAAACAAAAATTTTAAGAGCACGTTTATATGCTGTGGTTACCTTTTCTTCACCTGAGGTAGAAAGTCCACACTTACCGATGCATCTCTCATCATCTGTTTTTGCATCGCCAATGTACTCAAAGTGGAACTCTCCAAGGCACTGGGCAAACTTCCGCTGCGCCATCCCAAGCTCTAAAAATAGATCAAATATAAAAATTAGAAAATAAAAATATTGAACGCAGATTTTAAATCAACTGCAAAGTATGTAAATGGGTAAATAAAGCAGAATCATAAAACAGTTGGTGTGCATCTTTTTTCGCTAGTGAAACCTTTTGAAATATGTTATTTGTAAGAAGCTTTAGATAAAAGCGTCTCCTAAATACATAAACGTAGAGTCGGGATGGACAATATATCGGCATCAATATCGGCCGATGTTAGTTATTTAACATATCGGTATCGGTTCAATAAATAAAACCGGGCCAATATTAATAACCAATATTTTTTCCATCTCGTCCCATTTGTTTGCCTGTTTCTGAGGGTGCGGGGGGTGATGTGTGACTGTTTAGTCATGCGAACAGTGAATGTAATCATCTCAGAATCATAAATGTGTGTGTTGTTTGTACATAATAACGTAAATTCAGCTTTAACAATTTTCATTTTATACAAAATCTGCTGATTTTAGACGCATTAATGTCAGTACATCAGTAAGTATTTGCAAATATCGGTTATCGGCCATAACAGTGATCTTAATATCGGATATCGGTCCAAAAATTTCATATCAGTGCATCACTAACGTAGACCTTGTGAATCATGTTTAATTTAGGTTGACTACATTGCAAACATTCTCTTTGTACTTTGATACATCCTGTTAAGCATCTATGTCTGTACCACCACAGTGGAATAAACCACAGGTGCAACTAAACTCAGTGTCTGTCTGCAAGTCAAACGTTGCCCAACGACAGCTTAAAGAAGAACAGTAAGCTTTACTGTAAGAACTTACAGCCCAGGAAAAGATAGATGATGAACATTATTTGCTTTAAATATCATGTTTATTGATCAACAAGTTTTAAAATACCTTTACACGACTTAAAATAAATTAAATAGTTTTGTGTCATGATCAATGTATTTTAATTTACATAACCTGTCAACCAGACCAAAATAACAGCTTCTAAAAAGGCTACCTCTGATTGTCTAGGATAAGTAAAGCTTATTGTAATCTTATTACATCATAAAATATAACATTACAGTGCTGGTGATAACATATGATCTGTACTGAATACCTAACATATGTTAGTACACTGAAAAAACGTAAATCTCTTATTTGAAAAAAAAAAAATCAGTTCTGCTATAATTTCTCTAACATTAACAATGACAAGGCAGAATTAGCCCAGACAGGAAATAACCGGGCACATGCACGTATTAGCCTTTTAAATAACAATGAATAGCTTTTATTGCAGCAACTGTCTAAACAATGCCTAAACAGATTTGTTCATTAAAACTGGTTTGTCTTTTTTTCTCTCTTCAACTCCAGTTGCTCCATCATCTAAGGTGTAAGTGAACACACACTTTGTATTTAAAGAGCAAGTCACCCCCAAATCACATTTTTTTGCTGATAAACTATATAAAGGAGTGTCTAACCGTGCTACAGACACATGTAGACAATAATTTGGCAGCTCAGTGGATCTTGGTTAAAATTCAAATATTCTGCCTACGACTGTCAGCGTTGCGCCGTCGTCAGGGAAAATTCTGCACTGTATCTGAATTTAAATCTGCCACTGCTATTGGCTAAGAGGTATGCTATGATGTCATCTGGTACATTATGATGTCATAATGGCATTGTGAGCCTGTGTGTGTATTTGTTAGCGGCTCCGCCCTCTCGCTCTGCCAAGCAACAGCATTTGTTGCATTTTTCAAACATGAAGTGGGAGTGAGGTAAGTTTCTTGTAGGGGGTGACTTGCTCTTTAATCTGCAACTCAGCTCACTGGGCAAACATTTGACTAGGGTTGGGCATCGTTTGAATATTTGAATAATTTTGGTTCTGATTCCAAATCGTTGTTTCGATTCCGGTTCCTAGCGATTCTTGATTCTGATTCTCTCAAGAGGCAAGGTCCAAAAACTTTACGTGTTTTAAATGAGCCAGCTAACCATAGGTCTTACTTGATAAAATAGTCTGAACTTCGTCTTCTTCCAGTCGGCGGACCGGTCGTTGAAATTAAGAACGGAATAATAAAATTTGAACGAGTCGGGAAAAACTGAAAATGAGTCCCTGTTTCAGTTGATACTCAATGCCGATACCCAACCCTACCTGAGGTGAGGGATGTTGAACAATCATTGTCTTAACATGAAAGAAAAGGGCACAAGTTTGACTTTAATCATCACCAATGGTCTCAAATCCATTTGCTAGTTCCATATCTATAAAATGAATACATACAAAAACATTGGTAGATTAGACCCAGAGCTACAGAAAGCCAGTTTCAGACTCACAGCATTTGGAAGCGTTTCTCTTTCAGAAGCGCATAAAACGTGTTTCTCATGTGTGACTGGGGTTTTGATTGTTGATATAAAGTACGGAAATTGAGTCCTTAGAAGAGAAACATTCATATGAGCTCCAGCAAAATCTAACTTTATATCTGAATGTCCTTCTTATTTGTGCGTTGGTTCTCTTCAGGTATTCCACATACCTCCTGCATGCCAATTTAAGTTAATTTAGATAAAAGCATCTGCTAAAAAATAAACAAACAAATAAATATCAAGAGTAAAATGAGTCTGTATTTATTTATTTGTTTTGTTTATTTCATTTATGCAGTTAACAAAAAAGAACACAAGTTAAACGAACCTCTTAAGAAAACATTAAAGAAAAAAACGATGTGTAATTGCACGCAGACGTTTCACTTCATTAATGGAATCTCCCACAAAGGTGACTTTGATATGAAAAACAACAGGATGAGGGTTAATTATGGCTAACAGACAAAGCGTTGAAAATAAATGGTTTGTTAAATAAAAGCCTGCCAGCGCAGATGATTGTTTTAGGAACAGATGCACACACTGACTGTAGCAATTTTCTTTGAAGCAACTATGAATCTTAGAGGATCTAAACCTCACAGACAGCAGGAATCCAGGCCCAAGTGTGAGTCCATAAAAGGTGAGTCTGGTCAGTCTAGAATAATCCTTGTTTTGGTCTGGGCAGGATGACTGCAGACAATACAATCAAGTGAACCAATCATAAAACTGGAGACTATAAAATAAAACTGGAATTTTCCAAAGGTGTGTGTGTGTGTGTGTGTGTGTGTGTGTGTGTGTGTGTGTGTGTGTGTGTGTGTGTGTGTGTGTGTGTGTGTGTGACTAGTTGTTTGTCTCTGGTGTTTCAGCTGCATTCTTCTAAATTAGAAAACTAAAATCTTATCTAACAAGCCATCTATTCCCTACTACTTATCCAAGGTCAGGTTGCAAGGTAACATGTCCAGGAAGGAGCCCCAGACACATCTTTCTCCACCTACCCTTTCTAACACACTCCTCCTGATGGGTCTCAAAGCATTTACAGGCCAGAGAGGATATACAGTCCCTCTAGATTTGAGCATCTGCCCCAGGATCTCCTCCTAGTGGGACCTCCTCCAAAACCTTCAAAGCCAAACTATAAAATAAACTTTTTTTCTACCTTTTGTATCAAGAGTCTTGTTCTTTTTGTCACCAACTGATCATAAGCTGTAAACCAACTCAGTGCACATTTGAAGATGCCAACAGAACCACGTCATCTACAAAGAGTGGCAATGAAACCACAAGCTTCGCAAACAAGACCACTCTGTCTCCATAACCATGATCCACCCATGAACACAACAACCAGGATTAGAGACAGGGGGCAGTTCTGGCAGAGTCCAACCCGATTTGAAAATGACTTCCCCATGGTGCTGAAAATGTGGACACAGCTTTTGCTTTGTTTGTAAAGGGTCTAGGTAAACTTTACCAGTGAAACCTCACCACCTAACAAAACTACAGCATGTCCCCACAGAACATCTTAGGGAACACAACAGTAAACCCTCACCAAATCCACAAATCCCATTTGAACTTGACAACTAAACCATCAAAACCCACTTAAGTAGTCTGCAAAGGTATAAATCTGGTCCACTGTTCCATGACCTGGATGGAAGTCACCCTGATCCTCCTGAATTGCAACAATGACAATCAGCCCCCTTCCCAACATCCTAGAGTAACAATTTCCAGGGAGGGTAAGGAGCGTGATCTTTGATTGTTGAAACAGTCTCCGGTCTTCTTTTTTCCAGGAACTTTCCAGTCTTCTTTTGGCTCAAGGTCCAACAATCACTCCACATTGGCCACTCTCAGAAAGAGGTTGAAAGCCAGAGGTGGTAAAGATTTTCCTGTTGTAGTTCCAACCCTATGGAAAAGTCAGTTTTCTTGTGTTGTTAATAAGTGAATTTTGCTTGTTCAGCACTTTGAGCAACAGATGTTGATTTAACAGATCTGTATCATACTATTTTAAAATATAATATAATTAAGATGCTTGGATTTAGGGCTGCTCGATTATGGCAAAAATAATAATCACGATTATGGTGACTGAAATTGAGATCACGATTATTTAGGACGATTTTTCTATTTATGTTGATTTTATTTGTTTTTATTCAATCATAAAATTGCTCAGGGCACAATCAGGACAAAAATAAATAAGATACAGGACGATCACTAAAATAACTCCTGATTCCCAGTATAAAAAGACCAATATACTTATAGCTCATAGTCTATGACCCAAGGGCTATAGACCTTGGTTTAACTCATTTAAGTCTAACCAGTACAGAACCAAATACCAATATCTTGCAAATACTGACAGCAAGAATTATACAGTGGCATTTATAACAAATAACTGCAAATAAATTGATGTTCACAAAATGTTGCATAACATTTATTGAGTTGTGTCAAGGTGCTGTAGGAGAGTGCACTAGCACCGTGTCCTCAGAGAGATTAGCTATTATTTATCAGCGTGAGGAACTTATTTCTACCTTATTTATAAACTATTTATTTACAAGTCCATCAGTTAATGTAATAATTGTCCCAACCAAAGCTGCACCCCCCAACCCCCAACCCGGTCTCACATCAATCGGGGCAAGCTGCACGTGTTTAGCACGCGCACATTTAGCCGTTTTTAGCGGTTCAGGAGTCCGTAGGTACGGTGTGTGTGTCA